CTTCCTCATCATATTTACTATTATTACTAAAAGTCTTTTTTCTTCTATAGTTTTATGGTATCCTAAGTTATCCAGCTCTTGACTGGAATCAGTAGTTGTTAAGTTATCAGGTTCAAGTGCATTTTCATCTGTGTTATCTTGATTAAAAGTCACAAAAATAATTTTTAGATTCCAATCTTATATTGGCTTTGTATACTATTTTGGATATCTCTATTAATAACATATCTACCCAAATAATAAATATCAATTAAGAGTATGTTCTTGATAGAGATATCTGAAATTAGTATATATACAAAACCGATATTATCTTTCTATATACCTCAATATTATAAATAAATAAATAAATATATATATATATATTAAATTAAATAATGACTAACATAAATCTATTATTATTACCATTATCGCTATTAACACTTTTAATTATTGTTGTTAAAAGAATCTTGTGCATTATTATATGTCTCATCTGCATTACTATGATTAGGCATTCTTTCAACATCTACATAATTTATATTATGCTTTCTGTTAGAAAGTTGTACATTCTTTTTTTTTGGTAGTAGTGCATACCTTTTCATTTTTGCTTCAGTAACACTCTTTTTTTTTCTTGATCAACTATTACAAATAAAAAATCAAATACAACCAATATTTTATCTAAAACTATAATAAATTACGTACCCATGCTATTACAATATGAGATAAGCCAATCACAAAGAACAAAGTCAGCTTCAGAGGATAGAAATATTGAATTTGCTTTATTAAACTATAATATATAATTAAAATATAAACTGTCTTCGCTTTTATAAATATTAAAAAATTTAACCTTACTTCTTTTATAACTTCTTTAGCCTTCCCTTTTGGTTGATAAGATAATGATATACCACGTAAGAACTGAGAAGCCGCACGATTTCACAAATCGTTTTATAATAATAATAATAATAATAATAATAATAATAATAATAATAATAATAATAAAATAATATAAAAAATCAAATACGTAATAACAATAATAACTGTAAAAGCTTACCCTAAAATTCAAATATTGCTTTTTATCAAGTTTTAAAAACTCATGCCACTGAACATCCTTTTCATTTTTTTTTTGGGCTTCTTTGTAATATTCATATTTATTAAGTTTAAATAGATTCATTGTAGACCCTTTTGGAAACTATAAAAATTTATGCATTAATTAGTACAAAATAAAAATATACAAAAAAAAAAAATAGTAAATAACCTGTTCATTAATTACACCACATAGAGCACTATATGTATCTAGAAGTGAATCTGCAAAAGAAGGTTCAATTGCAATTAATACAGAATATAATCGATGGTGTTGCTCATAGCTTAGTAAATTAGATAAAGTTGGATCTTTGTCAAATAGTTCAAGAAAGAACTGATGATACTGCTCAATACTAAGAGTATGAATATTTATTGAAAAGTTGTTTTGTGGCATTTTTATAACAGGATCCAATTATAAATAGTAACTATACACTTTTTTAATATTCGCAAAAGAAAATAGAAAATGTAAGAAAAAGAAAACAATAGGTAAATTTTATTTATACTTAATCATTAACATATCAGTTTTAAATATTATTGATTTTTTTTGTGATCAAAGTATATAATTATTTGAATAAATAGCAACATACAATATAAGAAATAACTTTTTCTTTTTTTTATTATAATAAAATTATTTCTTATATAAATAGATAAAGTTCTTTGTACATGTGTTTGGTATCTTCGAGAATCAGATAATCATGGAAAATTAGTTAGTAGATCATCCTGAGCAAGACATTTATTAAAACAAAAAACAACTTGGCCTAATTCAACAAATATATCTGCTCAACAATGATATCTAATCACTTCTATTTCTTTAGCAGTTGGATCAATATCATTACCCACCCACCCAATAATATCATTATCATGTAACAGTCAAAAGCTGGATAACTTAGGATACCATAAAACTATAGAAGAAAAAAGACTTTTAGTAATAATAGTAAATATGATGAGGAAG